GTGCTCTGGTCCTGGCGCCGCTCTCAGACATGTAAGGCTCAGAGTTCTATCAAAATAATAATAATAATAATAATAATAATAATAATAATAATAATAACAATAATAATAATAATCATCATCATCATCATCATAATAATGTAGATGAGTTTACGCCCCTATCGACCTAATTTAAAACATTTAGGAAGCGAGCCTCCAACTCTACCTGCCAAGGCGAACCTGGGCTAGGATCAGAGGGATACAACATCCCTGTAGAAACGCCAAGATACTGGATACAGATTAATGTTTTCCCACTCGAGAATCGAACTGGGGTCTCACACAGGCGATATTAACATTTGTAACCGCTACACCACAGATGCCGGTCCAAAGTTTTAAAGAATTGTGTTATTGTTTCATCATCATCCGGTGCCTTGCCGACTGGCGTGGGCGATCATGGACCTCCACTTCCATCTGTCTTTCGAAGCAGCAATGGTGTCTGTTGTTCTTGCTGCTCCCAGCCATGTTGTCATCTTGTCCAGTATCTTTTCCCTCTGTCTGCCTCTACCTCTCTTTCCATCAAACGTTCCTGTTGTTACAATGTTCTCTAATGCTTCTTTCCGCATTGTGTGTCCGAAAAAATTTGCCTGTCGTTTTCTTATATTCGTGATAAGTTGTTTTCTATAATTTGCTTCAACCAGGACTTCTTCATTTGTTTTTCTAGCTGTCCATGGGATACGTAGCATGCGTCTCATGAACCACAACACTCTAAAAATTAACACGCCTTTAAACACTTTAAAGTTATTTAAGAGATGAGCCTTCGGAATTTTCCGTACATCCATCATCGATAGGACAGAACAATTGCGTAAAGAGAAATTTGTTTTTTTTTAAATAATTTTAATCAGGATTAGATTGTACGCCCTAAAAAGTGTGGTAGTTATAATGCAGTTGTCTATTTTAGGTTGATTTTTTTTTCTTTGTTTATTTAGGGTGAGGTTTTCGGTTTTTTGAGGGGGAGGAAGGACGATGTTTTGTGGGGGGGGGGAGGAAGGCTCTTTTTTTCTGACTACCGTAGGGATGTCATCCTACTCTTCTACGAGCTTACCATGTCTTTACATCCTGCCCTCTTCTCCTTCGTGTCATTCTGCCCTTTGAAAAATAACACCAGAAAACCAACATACAAACAAGCAAACAGACAAACAAATAAAAACCAAAAAGGAACAAAAGAAAAGGGGAAAAAACGAAAAATAAAAGCACTTTTAGACAGTACCAATAACTGAATCCACCCAAAAACTGAAAAGCGCCTGGTTCCACATTTTCTTCTCACATTTCTCACTGCAACTTCTCTATCATTTCCAGTTTCGGACGCAAAAAGATATTGGTTCTTGGAATTGTTGGAACTTTCTCCTTCGCGTTTAGCAACGCATTTGTGACGTCATACGTTGCGTTCGTCGCCATGAGATTTTGCTACAGTGTCTTCTCCAGTGGGATGATCCTCTCAGCTTTTGTCATCGGTGGGTACCTGCTCGCTCTCTCACTCCCCCCCC